TAGTAATACACGCGTCTCTCTATCTTTACATTACTTAGGGAGACATCCCTATTAAGTGCTTACACTTAAGGTAATAAGGTAGTACCTTCTCTATATTATTATTCTATTAATATTATTAAGATAGGTAGCACCTCTAAGTTAATAAACACTATAATAAGAGTTATTGTAGTTAGTAGTAGTCGCACTTAGCACTATCTAATAAGCTCCTAGAGCCTGTAGTTTATGTAATAGATAAGTAGTAGGTTAGTATACACCTATACTTCCTAAGGATCTATAGTCTCTATAGAGGATAGTTAGACCTAAGCTAAACTTAACACTTTACTTAACTAGTTATTTAATAGATTTTAAATTAGTAATCTTAGCTAGAATTAGGACTAGTAGTTAGTAGTTACTACTATAGTAAGGCTAAGGATTATAACCTTTAGGCTTCTAAATAATAGTATAACTAGCGCTAGTATTATGCCCCTATAGGAGCTAAGGAGTTATACCTGTCCTTAACAAGGCTAATAGGTAGTGTTAGTAGTAGTAGTATATAGTCTTTTAGTTTATTAAGGGCGTAGTAGTTTATAATTATAAGTATATAGGTAGGTATATTAAAGAATAGTTAATTATACTAGTGCGCTAGTTATACTTATAACTAGTAGGTAGAGTTAGTTAGAGTTAAAGTAGAGTAGCCTCTCTTTAGTAGTAGTCCTAGACTACAGGACTAATTATTTAGGTCTGCTAACTATAGGTTATCTACCTATCTTTAGTATTACTTAGTGTGGATTAGACTATCGCAGGCGTAGTAGGGCCTAGACTACCTAAACTTAATCTCTATATAGTATTAGGGGATAACCTTATATTCTTAATTACTTGTAGTCTTTCTTTCCTTTAGAGTATTTAGTAATATTTACTTGCTAGTAGTAGAGGTTCTCTTTACTTAGCTATCTCTTAAGACTTTATAATAGAGATATAATTAAAGGGGTTTCTTACTATAGATAAGTATAGGCTAGCAAATTAGGGGTATTAGATACTATTTATAGTGGCCTTTTTAAGCGTTATAGAGACTCTTTTAACCTCTTTCTAATAGAGGTAGGACTAGCTTAGGCTACTCCTAGACAATCTACTTTACTTAAATCCTTGCTTAGTATTAGTTTCTCCTCCTTGTGCCTTAGTTAGCCTTGCAGACTAAGGATATTTTAAGAAAGGTTTCTAGGCTACTATAAGACTATATCGCTACTATTCTATATAAAAGAAAGCTAGTCTAACTAGTATAGTCTAGGTAAGATAGCCTGTTAATAGTATAGTTAGCTTATTACTATCTACTATTAAAGGGCTTTATACTATAAGATATACTATCTAAGACACGAACTTGCTATATTATAATAGATGCGCAGTTCTCTATAGGATACTATATAGGAGGGTAATCTATTTCTCCTTATATAGGTTATCTAGTTACTGCTAGATTTATCTATATAGGAAGGAGTAATTCTTTAATTATATAATATACTTGTTTAATATATCCTATTACGTTACACTTATATATAATATATCTATTATAAGTTTATTAACACTAAATTAAATAAAAGCTTCTATAAAGATAATCTTAACTTTAACAGCGTACTATTAAAGATAAAGAGCCTCTTCTTCCGTGACTAGGCTTTCTATAGTAGGGACTACTACATGTCTTGGTAGTTAACTAACGTACATAATAGCCCTATTTTCTATCCTAAGCTAATACGCATTAGTTCTATACCTAGCCTAGGAAAATATATTAACGTGTAACGTATAGTTAATAGGGTATTTAAAGGATAGATTACCCTACTTTTAGAATACTATAGTATAGTAGATAGGTTATTACCCCTAAATTTAGTAACTTGCGATATTATCCTCTTAAATAGTGTTGTGGTTACTATATTAATCTACGTTAATTCCTAGTCTAG